TCCAGAATGATCTCTGCACCTAGGCAGCACAACAGGAGGAGAACAGGGGACAAAAGAATGGGGTCCTGCATCCAACAAATGCCTTCTGTTGCAAGGCACAAGGGCTTGGTGTCCTCTCATCCCTCCCAGCCCAGGCAGTGCCTTTCTCCTCTGCCCACATCACACACACTGCACCATCATGGGGATCAAAAGGCTTTGGACTCCAGGATTTCCCCCCAAATCAATGACTACAGGGCAATGAAAATAAGTACTTCGATATACTCATTCTGTCCTTTTATTTCAACAAAAGCAACCATCAAACCACTTCTAACTTAGCAAAAGCTACAACTCAAAGGACTAAGGAACATATTCCAGAGGAACACCTTCCTGACATAGTGTAGAATAATACCATCTATCAAAACAAAAAACGGCCTCCTAAGAACTTTCCTAAGAGATTTCTTCTTCTTCCTAGGACTTTTCTCACCTCTACTCCAAGCTTTTAGAATTCTTAACATAATCCCCTGGCTTCTTTCACTTCCTGGAGTGAACCTCGATGTGTAATTTATTAATGAAAGAGGAAGAGAAGGCATGAGATGGCCTTCACCCTACTGGCAGGGAGCATTACAAATTACTACATTGTATTTCACATAAAAAAACAACTTTATTAACACTCCTGTTTATTATCCTCATGTTCCTGGTATGAACATGGGCACACATGGGAAGGAGCGTGAGGCACTCACCTCTCCCTCGGTGCTCCAGCTCAGGTGTCTTCTGGCCACGCTGCAGACAGCACTGGGTACACTCCAGACAGTCCTGGGTCCCTTGGAGCCAGAGTCCTCCTCGGGTGGTGACACTGACAGGCGTGGCTCAGCTTCTGTCCCTAAAGAGACTAACCCTAACACTAACCCTAACAACTAAGCCTTACGCGAATATGAGAAATAACACTATGCCTAACGCTAAAACTAAGCCTAACCTTAATGCTAATCCTAAGCCTAAATCTAACCCTAAGCGTAACCGTAACCTTAGACTGCAGGGAGCTTCCAGCAGGCTTGGGGAGGGGCTGTGGGGGCAGCGCTCTGGACCCAGGCCTGGAGTCGAGGCCTCTGCCCTGCTCTGAGGGGCTCTGCTGGGCAGGGCTGGGCCTTGGCCTGTAGCATGCCTGGCAGCTGCCAGGGCTCGAGATGTGCTGGGCAGGTCCCCACATGCCTCTTCTTCCCGCGGCATGTCGGGCTGCCCCAGGAGCTGTGGGTAGCAGGGGTTCACCCAGATGGTGCAGATAGTGATGGCCCTGCTGCCTGGCTCGTCTGACAGCTCCTCACTCGTCCCGGCATCCCCTGTGGCAGCTGCTTGATCTCTGGTTTGGGGAGTAAGCTCTAAGTGTCCTGTGCCTTTGCATGGCACCAGAGGTTTTGGTTCCTCCTCACAGGACACATAGGCACTCTCCTCCCTGCTGCTGCTGCTGCCACCCTGGACATCCTCTGAGCTGTCCCCCTCTTCGCTGGGCAGCCCTGCCAGGAGGATCTTTGCTTCTGCCATTGCCCACTGCCTGCAAGCTTCCACCTGGCTTGGGGAGGGGCTGGGGGGCAAGAGACCCAGAATTGTTTCACGACTGGAGTGCTCTGTGCAGCTGTGAGAGGCTCTGCTGGGCAGAGCTGAGGCTTGCCCTGAGGCTGTGCATGGGGGAACGTTGCTGCGCTCTACCCCGGCCTCGCCATGCCTCACAGAGGGCCTCACTTCTCTGCTTCTGCAGCTCTGATCTGGGTCCTGTTGCCCCTGGGACAGCTCTTTGGGGCTGCTCGCTTCCCAGGCCGCCTCCTCACCATCTGGTGTTGACAGGACAGCCCCCAGTGCTGCCCCTGCCCCCGGCCCACGGAGAGCTTCCAGCGGGGTGGGCGAGGCTGTGGGGGGACAGCTGGGGCCGTGCGGGGAAGCCGCCCGGCTCTGTGGCCCTGCTGCGGGGGCTGTCGCTGCCGCCACTGCCTCCATGCCCTGATCCCCGTGCCGCTGTGTCCCCGGCTGCCGGCTGCGTCGCCGGATCACAGCCGCCACCCTGCTGAGGATGGCACGGGAGCCGCGGCGCAGCGAGTGCAGCAGAGCCTGGCCGCGGGCCCTGCGGCTGTGCAGGGCCGCTGCCCGGCTCTCTGCTGCCGCCGCCTGCGCGCCAGGGCCAGCACAGGAGTCACGCTGCTCCTCGGCCTCCTGAGGTGCTGCCCCATCCCTCACCCCCTGCCTCCGGCGAAACACCAGCCACTTCTGCTTGGGCTTCGTGTCGGTGCTCGTCTCCTTGTCCGTGGACATCTTGGAGTCGCTCCGACACTGCCGTCCCCTGGGAAGATGCTGGCTCCTGATGGAGCTGCTCTCCTGGGAGTGGCACCCCCGGGCTCTTTGCCTTTTATACTGTCCCGGTCAGGGCGCGGTCCAAACGTCACAATGGGCTCTGGACACACGCAAGCCTCACGTCACAAAGGGGAGCACGGTCTGGGGCGGGGGGGGGGGGGGTCGGAGGGGAGGGTCCCAAGTGTCTCCAAGGGCTCTGGGCACAGACAAGGAGTACAAGGAGTCCATCTCTCTCACTTTATCACGCAGAGTAATACACAAGACAGCTCACAAGGTTCATGAGGCAAAAGAAAAGAATCTGCTCATGAGCTATTGGAACAGAATTTTGAAACAAAAGAGACCAAAGACGCATGATGGCCTGGACTGCTTCAGTGTCTCTTTGGCTTTAGTTGAATTCAAAAGATTTCCTTCCTAATGTGATTGGAAGTCCTACACTGCAAACCCTTTTAAGTCTGCCTTTGCCTTGTTGTATCTTTCTCTAAGAATACCACATTTGGTTCATCTCTTGAAAGGTAGAAACTGCTCAAATGCTGCTCTGAATTGCTGTGACGTCTGGGCTGTAGCTGGGTTTCGATGTGATTCTGGTCAGGATCCCCTTAGGATCAGTTTTGTCGTGATATGAACTGATGCAGTAAGCTTGACTTAAGAGCGGCACAGTCTAACAGAGTCAGTCTTTGAATGCTTCTGAATATTTCCCCTCCCTATCTGCTGCTTTTCTTTGCAAAGCTGCAGGTCCAGGGCCTTGAGGCAAAGCCCAGTGTGCAAATTCCTGCCGCCATTCTTGCCTTCCTGCAGGACACTGACAGAACGTGGTTGTTTCTGTTATAGGGTAGTTTCCCCAGGCTGGATGGCCTGGGCTTGGTCTACAAGGAAAAATATGGGTGTTTACAGCCCCTGGACATTAAGAAACAAAGACAAATGAAACCAAGCCCTGCTGCCGCCCGCACTCTCAGCAGGCCCCTCCATTCCCGCCTCCTGCCCTGAGGGCCGTGGGGGCAGGACAACGTCCTGAGGGCAGCGCCGGGATCGTGTGGCCAGAGCCTGGATCCTGTGGGCAGAGCCTGGATCCTGACTGCATTGCCCGGATCGTCTGGGCCGAGTTTGGATTCTGAGGGCCGCTCCTGGATGCTGTGGGCAGAGCCTGGGTTGTGTGGGCCGCGCCTGGATCCCATAGGCATCACCAGGATCCTGAGGGCAGTGCCCAGATCAATCAGGTAGCACCCAGATCCTGAGGGCAGCTTTTGGATTGTGTGGGCAGTGCCTGGAAACTGACAGCAGCTCTTAGATCCTGAAGGCAGCACTTGGATGCTGACGGCAGCACTCGGATCCTGTGGGCATGTGAGAGTCTGTCCTAATTTTCCCTCATCTGCCTCACGATCGTCCTTGGGAGACCACTGAAGAGAAGACCCTCCCCGGTCTATATCTGGCTCTGAAGGAGAAAAGTCACACACCACGGGCCTGAGACCTGAAAGCTCAGTGTTGAGCTATTGTTTTCACAGGAGTGTTTGCTGTATGCTAAGAAGAGGGCGCCATGCCCCGTTTGCAGCAATAGCAGCTTTGGAAGCTGTCCCACCTCTCGGCCTGGCTGGACTTCTCCTGAGTTTCAGGTGGTCTCCCACAGAAGACCCTCACCTGTTTTACAGCACCGTAACAGACAGACTGAGATGTAAGAAGATTCTCCATCAAGGACTGAGACATAAAACTCCTAAAAGGCCCCTCTGCTCCTTCCAAGGACTGGGACTGAAACCCCCAGCCCGGGGGAGGCAAGCTGACCGAAACGAGATGTTTGCCTGCAGGTTGTGACCACTGGACCAAGAAAACAATGGCTCTCATTTACTGCTGAGAACATAACTACCTGTTACATCTATCAAGCTCATTTACTGCTGAGAACATAGATTACCTGTTACATCTGTTCCCTATTGTATCTGTTTCCCCCCCCCTCACAATTTTCAGTAATAAAAACCTCTGAGTTAGCTAGAGCCTTTGAGATCTCTGCAGCGTAGCAGGCGGACCCTCGGCTGGACTGCATCAAAGGACTTCGTCTCTGCGTTGGTAGCTATATCCCCTCTCCCTCCTGCTCTCTCTCTCTTCTGTCTCTTTCTCTATCTTTTCCTCTCCCTTAATCCCTCTATCGCATTTTTTGCTGTGGTTATTTCAATAAAATTGCATTTGATTTGATTATCACTGCAAACCCCCTTGTACCGTGTTGGTGGTTTGCACTCTGAGATCATTCCTACGAACCATCAGGTCATCTGTCCACTAGGACGGACCCTGACAGGGCACCTCCTGTTTCCCTCCCAAAACTCACCCTCTATCCACAGTTCTGGAACACAGTGACTTCTCCAATCTATAAAACTAGTGAGAAAACACATAACGGCATGTGATTGTCTAAAGTTCAAATTCCTGCCAGAGTAGATGAATGGCAAAAGCATCACCCACCTTCCCTCCGCCCAGGCCAGGTCCGACATCCTGGGGTAGCCAGCCAGCTTCCTGAGGAGGTGTTTCCCCCTCCAGAAGGGGTCGTGCTCCAGAAGAACATGCCAGCTGTGCCCCGGCTTGCAGGGACATCACGATGCCATTGAGCTGCAGGGGGATGTTTCCCCTGTCCCAGTCCATGGCACCTTCACCGCACTGCCACCACTTCTCCAATGGGATGGGCAGCATGGAGCCACTCCCTCCACAGCTCACAGGGACCAGCGGAAGCATCTCTCCAGCTGCGCTCTCTCCTCCGTGCCACAGCCGCAGGGAAACGCTCCGGGGTTTTCTTCCAGCGCCACAAGACTCGTGCCGGTGCTACTTGCTGGCTCCTGGATCCTACTGTGCACAAGGATGCATCTCTGCTGTCTCCTGGGCCAGGCAGGGCTCCTGTAGCCAAGAATGCTCCAAAAGTCTTCCAGTGATGGCCTGTCTGTGGGGTCCATGCATCAACACCACCTGATGATGTGCTGGCACTCTGTGGAGAGAAACCAGAAACCGCTGCTCAGCGAGACAAGGCTCCTGTCCATGCTCTCCCACATTCCACAATGCCCAGGCCACCAGGAGTGCTCGGAGCTGCACCCAAAAGCATGAAGACCAAGGGCCTCCAAGGCGCACGCCCAGCCAGGTCATTTCCAAACCTAGGGGTAACTCTTCTCCTTGTGTGGGTATGCATGCATGTGTGTGTGTCAAAAAAGTGAGAAAAATTAGAGTCAGAAGACTGTCCTTGAGAATCTGACATTTCTTGAATGGCAAGATGCTCTTTCAGGCCAGAAAGCTGCAGGGGCAGGGGGTTTCCTAGTTCCTGCTCCTCATTGCTGCAAGCAAGACAATGCCAGCATCAACTTGTCTTTGATGAGGCCTTCGGATTGCTTGGACCAAGCAGTCCAGGCAGGCAACAGGAGGTCAAGCCAGAGCCTGACCATGATTAAAGCTCGCCTGACTTCACGCTTGATATTGCACCAGCCAAAGACCTGGCCCACACTTTTACAAAAGGAGCCGACACCATGCTTACCCTCATCCCAGTTCTTCAAATGCTGTGTATTTGCCTATGGGCTGGCCCACACTCACAATGCTACCTGAAAGACAAAAGCAGTGCAGGGCACTCACTGGCATACAGAGATGCCGCTGCCCAGAGCCTCCCAAAGGCAGCCCCGCTGCCAGCAGTTCTGGGCCCTTTGTGGTCCCTTGGCTTCCAGCTGCTGAGACCAGCAAGTGGGAGGGCCATCTTCTCCACCTTTCATCATGTGGCCTTTCCAAGAAGGCCTTGATTTCATTCAAGCACACCATCCCATGCCATAAGCCAAAATGAGAAGCCCTTAAGAAGGGGGCCCTAAGAGGTAACCAAGGGCCTTTGCAGCCTCTGCAGTCACAGCCACCATCACTGGCAGGTCCACTGCCAGGGGCACAAAGTGTCTGAGCCAGAGGAGGAGTAAGAACGGGAGCCCGAAAACAGCTGGGGCCAGAGAGCTCCCTGGGGCCTAGTCACTTGCTAGGTGCCAGCCTTCTGCTCAAGCAGAAACAATCTCTGCTTTTGTCTTTGGCACAGAAGGCAGCCCAGGCAGAGCCAAGCCAGGCCCAGCCACCCTCACCAGCAGCAGGAACTCCCTGAGTGCTGCTGCGCTGCCTCAAAGCACAACAACAGGTTCTGCAGAGAGGCCTAAGTGCCTCTGAGACCGAAGGGCAGCTTCTGGCGCAGCCTACACCCAGACACGCACACAACACACTGCTCTGGTAGACAAGAAATGCACCCGACTTACTCAGTGTCCTCAGGCCCTGCTCCTCCCTCATCTCGGGCTGCTGGGCTGCGCTGCTGCAGGCAGTACCAGCAGCGGGGGCGAGCTAGCTGCTGCAGGCCACGCTGCTCCGGTGGCACCAGGTTGAATTGCAGAGCCTGTGTTGAGCTGGGACAAGGAAGGATTGCCCATCAGAAGGGCGGATTGCACACATGCCCCGCGCAGTGCACGGCCAGAGCAAGGCCTTGGCAAGGTGCTGTCAGCCACCGCCAGGCCTCTCCAGCTGGGGCATTTTCCATGTCTCCTTCTCAAAGGCAACTTTGGGAAAAGCCCAAAGGCTGCTTGGATCCAGCCCCTCACGGCCACCTCCATGTTCCATGTTTGCAGCTTTTCTGCAAGACACTGGCAACAAGGTAGCCATGGGGCTGCCAAGATCCAAAGAGATCAGAGCAGGGCCCTAGAGCCTCGTTGATTTCCTCCTCCTGTCTTTCCCTGGGCAATGAAATCAGCCCGGAGCTGGCATGCAATGGTCTGCTCAGAAGCCCACAGCGTGTCCCTTCTCTGATCTGTTTCACCGATTTCCCCTCTCCATGACAGCCTTTAGGGAGCGGCCCTTGGGACATGCCTTCCAGCCCTACCCAGACCCACCCGCCCTTTACAATGCAGGGCTGCCAAGCATTCTCCTCTCCAAACTCTGTTCTGAGCAGCTGGAAGCGAAGCACAGCCTGAAGCTAATTAGTCCATGGAGAGGGCAAGTCCCTTCCAGGGGTCAGTGTCTCCCTGGTTCCCTGCAAGGCTGTCAACTGCGTCTTTGGGCCACTCTGTCTGCTGACCACAGGCAGCCTGCACTGACAATGGGCACAAGGGGCTGACTCCTACACTGAGAATCATTGAATGCTGCCTCCTGTCTGATCCCAAGAGACATTCTCGGGCCCTCTCAGCATCCCAGCTTAAATGTACAACTTCAGAACCCATTGGCCAGGGCTGCCTGGCTTGCCTGAAGCAGCACTATGTCACAGCAGGCACACAGCCGCCAGCATCTTCAGCCACCAGCAACAAGGGCTGCTCCAAAACTGGAAGCCTGGCCCTGCACCAAAGGCAGTTACAAGTTCAGCTGCCACTTACTGGCTCTGCACATTCAGGCTGTGGAGGGACAGCAGCTGGAGGCTTGATGTTCCTTTGCTCCTCTTCAGCCTCTTCCTCAATGACAGAGCCAGGCAGAGGAGCTGCTGACCCTGCTGTTGAGCCCTGCAGACAGACAGAAGTGAGAGAGATGGGCAAAAGCCAGTCCCTTAGCAGCTGCTCTCTATTGAGCTGGGAAAGGACCCAGAAGAAGGGCAAATCAAGACTTTGATACAAATGGCACTCTGAGGCATGAAAACCCGAGGAAGTTGGCTGAATGAGGTGCTACTCCATCTTGCTGTGCATTCGAGCTTCCCTGCTGCCTAGAAGCAACAAGATGCCTTGGAGCTGTCCCATTTACCTTTCATCTCTTGAAAGGCTCTTCACTGGAAAATCAGCAAACAGCCAGTGCTCCCTTTGCTGTTGATGATGCCACCGGGCAGTTGGCCTTTCTTTCAGCCTCCCACGCTGGCACTCCACACTCGACTGCAACAGGCCAAGCTGGCAGAATTGCCACACAATTCTCACATGCCAGCAACGTCACAGCTTCCTTTGCCACTCACCAAAGGACAGGCTTGCCTTCATCCACGTGTCAGGTGACCTGCAGCGAGCAAGGCAAAAGGAACCAGAGGCCCTTAGAAAAGTGGCCGTGCTGGCCACTTGCACAGCACAAGGCAGTCCCAAGACAAAGCATTTCCCTTTCCCAGCATGCCTCCCGGAGCAACAGCTCTTTCCCACAGCAAACAAGAGAACAACAAGGGTGCTATAGTAGGCTCTGTCTACATTTGGGCCTCTTTTGCCAAGAGAGAAATAGAAACATGGTGGTGGAAATGCCCCTTGCTCTTCAACACTCTGAGCTTCTGTTGTGCCCAGCAGCACAACCAGCATTTTCCTCTTCTCTTTCCTGCATTTTAGATAGATATTCTTTTAAATGGCATGCCCTAATTCCCATCCCTAGGCTGAAGATGATAGCCCAGCAAAGCTTCCACAAAGGGCCCCTTCCCTGTGGCAGCTCCCTGCTGAAGCAGCTCAGGAACAGCTGCTGGGCTCAGCAGCAAACCCTCCCTGCACTGGGCTTTGTGCTGCATGGCCAAGGGAATCGCAGTCTTGGCACACCATCAAAGGGTCAAGTCACGCAGCCAAGGCCTCTAAGGGGCAGAATTTGGAGCGAAAGGTGCTTTCCTTCACTCCTGGAGACAACCACTGAGTTGCTAGAAGTACTTCTGAGGATCTCCCCTCAGAGTCTGCAATTTGTAGCTTGTCTTGCTTGAAGCAGCAAGCGGAGGAAATGACAGACTCCGCTGCCGTGCACTCTCTCGGGGAGGGAAGGCAACCGCTGCAGGTTGCACGGCAAATACTCTGCACCCGCCACCCAGTATAGAGATGCCCCCTTTTTAGCTGATGCTGCTGGCAGGACATTGACCAAAGTGGCGGCATGTTCATGGCCATTTTGTTCCCAAATAAACTGGGCCACTGGTGTGGTATAAAGAGCAGAGTGAAGCAAAAGCCAGGTGATGCCAGCCCCATGAGAAACCTTTACTTACGAGTCAGCTGGGTCAGGTAGTAGCCCGAATAGACAAGAGAAAAGACCGTGCAAACCGAGGCACAGACCTGCCCGATCATTTTGGCAGCACTGTGCGGGTTTGCACACTGAATGCCACCCAAGGGAAGGCCCAGACTCCTCTCGGGGTGCAGGCCGTCTGCTGAGAACTCCTTGAGCACAAGGATCCTCCTGCAGGAAGCGAGTGGAAGAGCCGCTCTGAACAAGCAGGCCTTGCGCGCACCGGGACAACGCTGTGCTGCCAGCACTGTGACATGACACCTCTGGCTTGACCTCACAATAGCAGCTGCTCTGTGGCTTTCTTGTGCCCAGCAAGCCAACCTTCTGTACAGCTGATGCCACAGAAAAGCCTGGCAAGTTCTCCTCACTCATAAAGCAGCAGAAAATGTCCTCCCAGTCCATAAGGCAGTGCTCAAGGCATCCCAGGGGAACTCAGAAAATGTGCCAAGCCAAGCGACATCCAAGGAATCCAAGCAAACATGCCCTTTGCTCCCAAAAGCTTTGCCTGAAAGCAAGGCTGCTTCTTCTAGGTGGCATCGAAGCTGGTTCTGAAAAGTCTCACTTCTTCAGTGTCATTTAGGGGGAAAAAGAAGCAAAGATAATAAATTGCCAGGAGTATTTTAGGCTGCAGTCTCTTCTTGAGCACGTGCGTGCATGCTGTCCTTTGTTCTGACTCGCTTTGGAGGCTGCCCTCTCTTTGTGTCAGGGACAGGCTGGCTTAGGTCTTGACGCAGAGCTCCTGTGGTCCTGCTTGCTATTTCTCTGGCAACTGAAAGTCTCAGAACATCCCAAAGAGACGTGTGCTGATTCTTGGGCTGCCACACTTTCGTTGTGTCGGAGCTCTGGCAGCAGCCTGCAGCTCGCTGCTCTGCAATGGCCTGCAGGTGTCGAGCCCAAAGGAGCACCCTTTGGAACAGTGCAAAGCTGCAGTGGGACAGATGTTTGCGCAAGCTCCATGCTCCCTGTAAGGTTCCCTGCAGAAATTTGGATAGCTGCATCCCAGTACAAATGAGATGCCGTCACTCCCTTCTCTGTCAAAATCTTGAGGCAGACCCAGGAGGCATCTTGAAATTTTTGGAACAAAATCCTGGGTGGGAGGGGGAATAAAGTGCATGCAACTCCTCTGCAAATCAGCTCTGTTCACCCGTGGAATCATGAGCCTTGGCTTAGCTTTCTTTTGTGGTGACTCAGTACAGACATGTCATCTGATATTCCACAGGACCGTGTCTTTGAGGAGCTTTAGAATGGGCCCATCAGACTTTGGATTTATAGGATTAGATTGCATTTCCGCCATGTGGAAGATCTGAAGAGCACATGTGAGTAGGAAATAGGTTTGCCTTACCATCCCAGGACATGTCAGCTACTTTTTATTTTAAGGAGATTTTTCACAAGTAGTGGTGACTTGAAGACATCCCTGGATTTGATTGCCCATTCTGAGTCACAGTATTGCAGGTTGACTTTTTAACCCAACACTTTCAAAACCAGGGATTACCCAAATGGATTTTCTCAAACTTCTACAAATTTACCTCTGCTTTGTGAGCAAAGTTTCCTTACAGCTTTTTGATCAACTCACAGATCTTCTCATTTCCCCTACTTTGGCCTTAAGCACCAATGCACCTCTTTTTGAAATGCAGCTAAAATGCAACTGTTTCTGCTACTTTGTGTAACTTTTCTTGCATGAGATGGAAATAGTCAGTTGTGCTATGCTTTATAGTATACTTCATAATTGTAGGACTGAAAACAGACCACAGGAACTTCTCCCAGCATTAGAAAGTATGTAGAATAGCATTTTAAAGATGTCCTGACAATATTCATTGTATGCTTTATATGTAACTTTATTAAATTTATACTTCAGAGTAAATGTTACCTTGCAGGATTTCAGCTCAATTACAGGAATTGATATCCAGCAGTCTAATTTTCCTGTAAGACTGGACAGGGAAACTAATAATTTAGGAAAATGTGTTTTCCACATAAATGTGCAGTACTGTCCCGTCTGGCTTATTCTTAAAATGGCTCCATCTCGTTGACTGAGCCCACAAGAAACTTAGTTTTTCTTGAAAAGAAAGTAATCTGATCCATTAAATTACAAAATGGCATCTGAAATGCCACTCCAAGGTACTGTGTACTTCTAGGACCAACAGCTCCAGGGTAGATCCCTGCTGTGGATGCATCCCTCAGAATTAAAATCAAGCATCCTTGTGAATCTCGAGTTTGATTCAGAGATATTATGGTCAAAAGTCATACCTTGAAACACAGCTCCCATCAGTTTCAAAATAAAATAAAATTCTTCTATATATGTGCAATTTAGAGATGAGGAGGAAGGGAGGGAATGTACTGGAAGATTCTGAGAGGAGGAAAAAAATATTATAAAACTACTCATCCTTGTTCATTATTCCACCTGAGTGAACTCCTTGCTGTTCAATTATTAGAGTTAAATTACAAAATGATCAGCTACTGTATTAAAGTTTAAAGGGTTAACTTAAGAGTTATGTTCCCTCCTTCCCATACCACTGCTCTGGGGATGGGGCACATTGTCACTCATTTCTAATAGAGTAGAGGAATATATTACTTCAAGTGAATTCTGTCCAAGAACACAATGTGAGCTATTCTAAGTAGTAATTAAAGTTGCAAGAACTCAGAAATTTGTCAGAACCCTATTTTTCCATTGCTTTTTGATTCTTGGTCCATAAATTCCTTTGACAAGCCAGATTGTACCTGGGACTAAATTTTCAAATACACTCATGTTTCAGTATGTCCAGCTCTCTCAGTTGCTGAGGGTTGGACGTTTATACATTTACTCAGACCCCTGGTGCTGAAACCAGCCTGACTCATTTCATCTCCTCATGCCCTGGCTGATCTCCCCTCTTTCCCCTTCCACCCATTGGCTTTTGTCTCCCCGCAGCCCCCTGTGAAGAGCCTGGCTCTGTGTTCTCCATCCCCTCCTGGCTGGCACTGCCAGGCTGGGATGAGGAGCCCCTCAGCCTTCCCTGCTCCAGGCTGGACAAGCCCAGCTCCCTCAGCCTCTGCTCACAGCCCAAGGGCTCCGGCCACACCTTGGAGGCCCTTCCCAGACCCTGCTCCAGCTGCCAGGCATCTTTCCTGCCCTGGGGAACCCAACCCAGGCCACAGTGACCTGGATAATCCCCATCCTTGATGTCCTGGTCACACAGCCCTGGCCCCTTGTCCCCTGTCAGGCTCTGGGATGGATCCTGTGGAACATCCTTTGGTGGAGGCTGTGGCTCCAGGTGGGCTGGGGGGATCCCGGGGGACAGGGACCCAGCTGGGCATGAACAGCATTGGACTTGTTGGGAGAAACTGTGAGGGGGAGCTGGGGCAGAGTGACCAACCCAGTGACCTGACAGAGCCCTGCTGGGATGTCACACAGCCCCTCTGGGATGTCACAGCCTGCTCTGTGATGTCACAGCCCAGTCTCTAATGTCACTCAGCTGGTCTCTGATGTCACACCAGTCTGTGATGTCACAGTCTGCCATGTGATGTCACAGCTGGATATCTGATGTCACAGATATGGCCTATGATGTCATAGCTGCTCAATGACCTCACGTAATGCACTCTGTGATGTCATAGCCCACTCTGTGACCTCATGTTATCAGATGATAAATTGTCTCCACCAGCTGAGCTGACACCTGGAGCTTGTTCTCCAAAACCCCAGGCCTATGGAAACCACACAATGCCCATTGTGTGAGAAGGGGAATTGGAAGTTCAGCAGCCTCAGTGTCCTGCCAGCTCAGCCGGGCCCATGGGAACATTGGGGTACATGAGCACCAGGGACCACCAGAGAGACCCCAGGACAGAACAACACATGGGTAATGGGGAGAGGAAAAGTGGTAATGATTTTGGGGAAATTATTATCATCTGTATTTTTAGTCCAGGACAATCAATGAATTTGTGTGCAAAATACAGAAAATAAACAGAAACTTTCCTGTTCTCAGCATGCAGGGCTTTGGGAGGAGCTATCCTCTGTGCATCCAGCTGAATAAAGAATGCTGCTTCTTAATGCTATATTGGGATTAAGGAGTTATCTGTTTTTCTGAATTTTTGGTAACACTCCCACTGCCAAGGAAAGCTCTGTCTGCTGCTGTTCACAAACAGAGAAGGGCTGGTGGCAGATGTGGGGCTCGGAGGCTGCCTGGGGCACAGTGACCATGGAATAATCAAGTTTTCAATGTTCTATGAAAGAAGGAGGGGCAGCAACAAAATTTCTACACTGGAATTACGAAGGGCAGACTTTCGCCTGTTCATGATACTGATTTGGGGAGTACTAAATCAGTTACTCATTTCTTTTAAGGGAAACAGTCCTTAAAAACCAAGGGGTCCAGGAAAAATGGACACATTTCCAAAAAATCATCTTAAGTGGGAAGGAGCTGCCTGTCCCAGTGTGGCAAAAGATGAGCTAGTGAGGAAAATGGCTGTCCTGGCTGCCCATGAGCTTTTGTGGGAAGTCAGGGGAAAACAGAGGGTGCATTAACTTTGGACAGGAAGTCAGGCAACTTCGGAAGTGTTTCAGGATGTTATTAAGTCATGCAGAAAGAAAAGCAGAGATGTGAAAGTTCAGTTAGAGCTTAACCAGGCCACTTCAGTGAAAAATAATGGAAAAGTTTTCTATAAATAAATTAATTATGTAAAAGTCTGGATAAAGAGAACCTCTACTCTTTATTGGATGCAGTGGGGAATATAGTATCTAAAGATAAAGAAAAGGCTGAACAGACTAACATCTTGTTTCTCTCAATTTTCAATATTAGGACAGGTTGTCCTCAGGACAAGTGTTCTCCTGAGCTGGTGGATGGGCACAAGGAGCAGAACAGACCCCTGTAATCCAGCAGGAAGCAGTTGGTGACCTGCTGAGCCTCTCAAATGCTCATAGGTGTATGGAATTGGATGGGATCAATCCCAGGGGGATGAGGGAACTGGTGGATGAGCTCCATCAAGCTGCTCTCCATCATTTACCATCAGTCCTGGCTCAGCAGGGAGGTCCCAGAGCACTGGAGGTGCCAGTGTGAGCCCATCCCCAAGAAGGGCTGGAAGGAGGATCTGGGGAACTCCAGGCCTGTCAGCCTGACCTGGGTGCCCGGCAAGGTTATGGAACAGATCACCCTGAGTGCCATCACAGGGCACCCACAGGATGGCCGAGAGATCAGAACCAGCCAGCGTGGATTTCAATATCTGCACTGATGATCTGCATGAAGGGACTGAGTCCAGCATCAGCATATTTGCAGATGACACCAAGCTGGGTGTGAGTTTGGATCTGCTGCAGGGTAGGAGGGCTCTGCAGAGGGCCCTGGAGAGGCTGGATCCAGGGCCCAAATTCAACAAGGTCAGGTTTAACATGTCCAAGTGCCAAGCCCTGCACTTTGGCCACAACAACCCCAGCAGCTCTACAGGCTGGGGACAGAGTGGCTGGACATCAGCCAGGCAGAAAGGGACCTGCAGGGACTGATGGACAGCAGGCTGGACATGAGCCAGCAGTGTGGCCAGGTGGCCAAGGAGGCCAATGGCTCCTGGCCTGGATCAGGAATGGTGTGGCCAGCAGGAGCAGGGCAGGGATTGTTCCCATGTGCTCAGCACTGCTGGGGCAGCACCTCGAGTGCTGCTTGCAGTTCTGGGCCCCTAATTTAGGAAGGACATGGAGGGGCTGGAGTGTGTCCAGAGAAGGGCAGCAAGGCTGGGGAGGAGTCTGGAGCACAAGGGCTTTGAGGAGTGGCGGAGGGAGCTGTGGTTGTTTATCCTGGAGAAGAGGAGGCTCAAGGAAGACAAGGCAGTGTCAAGGCACAGACTGGACTTGATGATCTCCAAGGTCTTTTCCAACCCTGCTGATTCTGTGACTCTCTGAAGCCACCCTTGGAGCAGTTGTAGGATGAGCCCCGGGCCTCCTCTTCAGAAGCTCCAGCAGCCCAGGTCCCTCAGCTTCTCCTGCCAGCCCCAAAGCCCATCCTGTCAGTCCTGCAGAGCCTCTGCAGCTCCTCCTCACTGCCCAGAACAGGGAGCCCCAGAGACAGACACAGCAGCCCAGATGTGCCCCCCTGGCCTGGGGTGCCTCTGGCAAGGGAGCAGCACGAGGCACTGCAGGAGCCTGCAGACAATTCCTGCAGCACTTGTAGGATGATCCTGCTGCCCAAGGGACGTTCCCATGGTGCCAAGTCAGGAACTGCAATGGGGAGTGGAGCCAGAGAGGAAAGGGCAAACAGGGATGGGCTGTTTGCAGGGGAAGGGACAGAAGTGGGCAATAGGAAGACATTTGTAGCAGGAAGAGTAAAGAAAGCAAAGGTGAAGCCAAGGAATTGCTCAGGGCAGTTTGGAGGTGGCTGCCACGCAGCCCTGGCTCTGAGCAACAGCATCTGCAGTGGGACAGGAAACTCCCAGCTGATGGGAACAAACTTGCTGGCTGACTGCAGAGGCCAGGAAAAACCTGAGTGGTTTCCCTGGTGTCCCCCAGCCCTTGCTGGCCCCAGGGCCGATGGCATTTGTGCTCCCTCAGGTTCATGTCCCCACACCAACAGCATGGGGGTGCTCCCCCTGCTGTGTGCAATGCAAACAGGGGCTGCTGAGCCAGTGCTGCCGTGTCTGTGCCTGCAAGGATGGGGCACCTGTGTGAGCTGGGGAGAGGCCAGGGCTGCAGAGGGGGGATGTTGTTGGCAGCTCCGTGAGGACGCTCTGGGACGCTGCCCTGGGCTGTGCAGTGCACTGGGGATGGATCAGCCCCTGCTCTGCTGCTTCTTCCCGTCTGCCCCATGGCCCTTGCAGAGCCCCAGTCATGCTGTTTGCCCCCAGCCGGCCCACAGCCAGCCTGGGGCTGCTCACGAGGGTTTTCTGTGCTGAGCATTGGCCTGGCTGTGTTCTTGAGAGAGCCTGGGCAAGGAGCCTGGAGCCCCCAGGCCCTGGCCTGAGGCATCAGCGCAGCCCCAGCAGTGCCCATGGCCTGTCCCTGCTGCGGCCCTGGCACTGCCACCCCCAGGGCTGTGCCCGGCCCCGAGAGCACTCAGGCCCTACAGCAACACCAGGGCCACCTGGGCAGCAGGGCAGGGCCACGGCAGCAGCACTGGCAACACCAAGTGCTGCTGCTGCTGGGCCCAGCTGCTGGGCCAGCACTGATCTGCCCCCAGCTCTGCACACAGACATTGCTGCTGCAGCTCCAGAGAAGGCAACAAAAGGGCATCTCTGCAGAAAACTCTGCTGGGAGATCATTTAGTTCCTTTAAAGCCACTGAGAGTGCAGCCCCTCATTGACACAGTCTGTGGCCACAGGGAATGTGGAGAGAAACAAAATGAGAAATGGCACAAGCAATGACATTTATTTTTTTAAAATATGTAAAACTAAAACAAGGGAAAAAAATCCCCACAACCAAACCAAGAAGAAGTATGAAAGATTACTTTTATTACAAGTTATTTGCAAAAATTGTCCAGCAATTTACTGTCCCTGAAAGCATGCAGTCATCAATCTCCAAACTGCAGCCTTGAGCTCCTGGTTCCTCAGGCTGTAGATGAGGGGGTTCAGGGCTGGAGGCACCACCGAGTACGAAACTGAAAGAACCAGATTGAGGGATGGGGAGGACATGGATGGGGGCTTCAGATAGGAAAATATGATAGTGCTGAGGAACAGGGAGACCACGGCCAGGTGAGGGAGGCAGGTGGAAAAGGCTTTGTGCCATCCCTGCTCAGAGGGGATCCTCAGCACAGCCTTGAAGATCTGCACATAGGAAAATACAATGAGCACAGAACATCCCAGTCCTAAGGAGATGGAAAACACTAGAAATCCAAGTTCTCTGAGGTACAAATTGAAGCAGGAGAGCTTGAGGATCTGTGGGATTTCACAGAAGAACTGGCCTAGGGCATTACCATGGCACAGGGGCAGGGAAAATGTACTGGCTGTGTGCATGAGAGCAGTGAGAAAGCCACTGGCCCAGGCAGCTGCTGCCATGTGGGCACAAGCTCTGCTGCCTAGGAGGGTCCTGTAGTGCAGGGGTTTGCAGATGGACACATAGCGGTCGTAGCACATGACAGTCAGGAGAGAAAACTCTGTTCCAATGAAGAACACAAAGAAAAAGAGCTGTGCAGCACATCCTGTATAAGAGATGTCCCTGGTGTCCCAGAGGGAATTGTGCATGGCTTTGGGGACAGTGGTGCAGATGCAGCCCAGGTCAGCGAGAGCCAGGTTGAGCAGCAAGAAGAACATGGGCGTGTGCAAGTGGTGGCCGCAGGCTACGGCGGTGATGATGAGGCCGTTGCCCAGGAGGGCAGCCAGGGAGATGCCCAGCAAGAGGCAGAAGTGCAGGAGCTGCAGCTGCCGCATGTCTGCCAATGCCAGCAGGAGGAAGTGCCTGATGGAGCTGCTGTTGGACATTTGCTGTGCCTTGACATGGGGATCTGTAAAAAATGTAATAATGGATTAGCTGGGTTTGGAGAGGACTTTAAATATCCCAGCACAACCTGGGGGCACTTTACTTTCCCCCCACTCCCTGCCCAGGGCTCTGCTGCCTGGAGCTGTCCCTGCCTGCAGCTGCTTCCCTGTGCCCAGGGTTGGGCCCTGCCAGTGCTGCCAGAGCCCAGCCCAGCCCTGGGGGCTCAGCTCTGCCCTGCAGACCCCTCCCATCTCAGGCACTGGCCAGGGGCAGCTGTGGCTCTGCAGAGCCATCAGAGCAACTCTGAGGGGGCTGGAAAAGCGTCATTGATGCTGCCTCTGAGTTGTCCTGTGCTAATTTCTCTAACTGCCTGATTTCGAATGATTTCAGAAAAAAAATTTCTCACCCTGAACTGAGAGATAAATATTGATGTGCAATTTCTCACTCAGACAACCCAGAGCAGTAGATTAATAAAGCAGGATTTCCCCTTGCATGCAGTCCCTGACTCAGTGTGCTCCCTGTATAATCTACTTTAAAATGTTCTGCAGTTAAATGCCATACTGGGAGCAGTCCTGATCAATGCAGCATCCTCCCCACACAAGGAGAACACTTCCAAGCCTTACCAGCTCTCTCCTTTTACACAGATCTTGTCTCCCAGTGCTGGGAGCAGCTGCCAGGACTGGCTGAGAGCTGTCCCTGGCAGGCAGCAGAGTCCCTGCCCCAGCACAGCGCCCTAGGCTGCAGGACCCTGCTCTGCAGGACAGCCCTGGGCACCCCTGGCTGCTCGGCACAAGAGACAATCAGAGAATGTACTCACAGGGTCTGCAGGCATTGGGATGTTGCAGCTTTAGGAGATGGCTCCAGGAGCTGCAGCTGCATTGTCCTGCAACCAGAGGTTCCTGTGCCAAGGGCTGGCAGTGATTCTGCCCCAGGCACTTCTCAGCACCTTCCCAGCCCTGACTGATTGAAGATCTCTGTGCCTCTGTGCTGTGCCTGGGGTGGCTGCAGGCAGTGCCCCAGCCCTGCTGGGCTGGCAGAGCTGCTCATCAAGAGAAATGTGCTTTTGAAGCTCTTCTTGGTTACCAGGAGCTACCTCTGTGCCAGGCTCAGCTTAGCAGCACAGACACAGGACAAAGACTTTATGAGCCTCTGGGGCTTTGTGCTCAGGCCCTGAACATCAGTCCCTGAGAGGGAGCTGAAGAAACCTCTCCAGAACTCCAAGTCAGAATCCAACTCCAAAGTTTCTTGGACTTTTAATGGGTCCCACTGAGGGACACAACTGAGAAAGTGTCCCCAGGCCCCAGGCAGAGCATTGAACTGGAGGCACTGATGACAGGTGAGGATAAAGAGAAGTCAAGTCTTGGTGCCCTGGGGCACAGCAGCAGGGTCTGTGCCACCAAGGGCTGGAAGGAAACACCTTGTCCTGAGGCCCTGGGGCCTCCTGGCACAGCCCCAGCCAGGCTGGGCACTGTCAGCCTCTTGTCCTGCCCTCAGCTTCCCCCCTAGCCCACATTCCAGTGGCTTCAAGGATCTGCTGGAAGGAGTCCCTGGGGAGCCTTGCTCAGCAATGGCCCTGGGGGCTCCTGAATACTCCCAAGGACTGCAGGTTTTTCAAAGGACTTTGGGTTTGGCTTTTGCCTTGGAGTCTCTGAGAGGTTTGTGCAATCATGGCCTCCAATTATCTGCTGTAATTAATCCCTGGAGAGGCTTTGTCAGTAACAGCTCTCAGTGGGGCTCATTAATGCTTCAAGGTACTTCAGTTATTTTAAGGTATTTGGTGTTTCCCTTTTGATCCAGACTCTGTGAGAGGTTTCTGCAATCATGGCCCCAATTATCTGCTTTAATGAGTCCCTTGAGAACTTTGTACTGACACTCAGTGGGGCTCATTATTGTTTTGAGATACTCAAGGTTTTTAAGATACTTTATGGATTTAAGAATACTTTTAGGTACTTTTAAGGATTTTCCTTCCCACACTGAGTCTCTGAGAGGTTTTTGTGCCATCCTGGCCTCCAGTTCCCTCCTCCATGGAGTCCATGATGAGCCTGTGTTGGGTATCTTTCTCTGTTCTGCTTTACAACAAAGATGGAACTGAAAGAATTTTGTAAGATTTCCAAAAGCATCCAAACATGGGACAATTAACCATACAGCAATCACTAAGAGAACGAATAGTCCTGTTTTAGCTCGACATCATCAAACCCTTTAGTCCCTTGGATTGGAAGAGTTTATTGACCTTGTCTTTGTTTTCCACGTGAAGCTTCTTGAACCCTTCCTTCAGTACTTGAATGCTTTTGTGGATTGACTCGCTTTGGCTGGAAAGGTTCTTACCACACAGCTCTCAGAGTCTACACAGCCATGCCCATGTGCCCAGAGTAAAAACTCTATCGCTATTCTGCAAGGTGGCATGTCTGATGGTCTCTATGTCTGAGAGCAGGCCACTCAGTGTGAGGGAGGTAGCATTGGTTTGCTTACTTAACAGGCACCCAAGATGGTCTAATTGTCCTAAAGCTTTAGCTGCAGCCACCCAAGGTAGTCCACATTGGGGGTACTACGATAACTGGATTAAAGCTTTCAAAGCCATCTCTTTGATATCATCCAATACTTCTCTGGCGATACCTACTGCTTGATCATCTGGTAGGCTGTGTTGTCCTTCTCCACCTAGATGGTTGATTGTCAATTCCGCCCTTGCCTCATTATTAGCATAGTCTGCTATTAATTGATTTAGTAAACACTTCCATCCCCCTTCCCACAGGATGTATTCTGTAGGTGACAGCAACATGGTCATATAACATTTTAAATCATAGGGGGTTAAGACATGTGCTGTAAACATGGTCCTCATTAGGCCATTAAAAGACGGTAAGTTCTTCCTATGGTCTTTAGCTGCCCTACACAGATCCTTGATTTCCCCATAAACCAGTGGCTGATACCTGGGATTCTGCCTCCTTCTTTCATAACATATGGGGGAATTTCAAGACCATATGCCAGTCTTCTTACTTTCCCAGGGATCTTCCAGGGTTGAGGGGCAAGGTGGCTCTGAGGAATCCAAACTGTAAACTGTCCTTCGGGGGAGGAAGAATAACTTAGAGGAGAAACATTTGGATTAGAAATAGTGTGACAGTTGGGCTTAGTACCTTGAGCATGGGGTTATATTGTTGCCGGAGGGTGATGCAAAGGGCACTGCCATTTTGTCAGGTGTTGGGAAGGAAGGGCCTTGATCTAGGATGGCGGACTTCTGATGTGGCCTTCTAGAAGCATGGCCCAAAGTGAAGGTGGAATGATTGAAAGTGGGGGCGTGACCCACATTCATGGGGGTGGAGTCTGGAGGTTCATTTAGGGCGGAAGAGAAGGTTGTGCTAGCAGGAAGTGGAGGAGCCAAGATGGAGGGAGGACAGTCGGGTTCAGGGGCATCTGGAAAATTTTTAATGATCCACTTCACGATTGAATTTAATTTTTTCTTTGAAGATATTTAGTCATGATCAGTGAGAATTAACTTAAAGCATCGATCTACACACCTTTCTACTTTGGACATCCGGCTGCCCATTTTTCTCTTTCTCCACCTTAGGTGGAACCGCCACTGGAACACCCCAAATGAGTTATGGGATGTGGGTGTGTATTGTAAAATCAGAGTGGCAAAATGGGCAATAATTGTCCTGCGTTTCCCCAAACCCATCTGCAATCCTACGCAGGTGAAACTGTCGTTGTCCCTTGTGGATCCTGGCCGAGGTCCCTCAAAGCAATGATGAATCTGCCCGCCCGGCACAATCCAAAATCCCAGGGAGCGCTGACCTATCCATCAGGTAACCCCAGCTGACATGATTCAATGTCAGGGTCCCTGTTTGGGTGCCAAAAGACGCAATGAGGGTGGCTGTGACAAACCTTTCTGATTCCCCAACTTCAGGGCAAGGGGGGTGAAAATGAAAAGAAGCAGATGCTGGGGAAGATGAAACAGGAAAGCCTTATAAATATGATTGCCTGGCAAAAGATTTTGAGAATATGGAAACTATACGTGAGATTGAAATGAAAGCAAGCTTTGAAATACCAAGCCTTAGTTACTGAACAACTGGAAAACCATGGTATGACTGGCTGAAGGTAATCCTCTTTTGATGAAACAAGACCCTCTGCTTGCAGACAGGTCCAAGGGTCAGAGCAGACCCTACTAGCTTGAAAGAAGGGGTCCAAAGAGTAATTTTTAGGGTTTAAAATGTAACACAGTATGGCAGTGTAAAGTTTCTTACAGGCTGTATGTAAATGCTGTAAGATTTGTATCTTGTACTACATTGGTTAGTGAAAATTAGAATATGCGGCACAGAAGATGATTTATTGTATTGTAACGGGAACTCCCCTCCTCTTTTGGGCATCCATTTTGGGCGCCTCTTTCAATCTCCTCTTTCAGGCAAGCTCCGAGCAGTGGCTGGCACCTCCTGACAAGGCCCCTGCACCCACACCTGTTGGGATCTCTAGCTGGTTAGAGTGACCCTGAGAAAAGTTCAAAGGTTTCTTTTCCCAGCCCAGCGCTTGAAGAAGGAGTCTTCAAGAAGGGCTCTTCATTTCTCCATCTTAAGGTCGTTTATTTTATATTATCTATAAAAAATTTTCTCCTGCCCTGCTGAGGTCAGCTTAGCAAGACTGTCCAAGGCATTCTGCCTGCCCCCGGGATGGTGTTATGTCTTTATACTAAAAACTACGTGTACAATGTTTACAATAACTTTCCAAAACCTATCACCTATGTTAGACAGTGAGCTTCTGCTCTAAACCAATCTGTAAGTGCCAACATCACAGCAGAAGATGGAGGCCAAGAAGAAGAAGGAGAAAGGCTGGATACACCCAGTTCCCTCCATCTTGCCTCCTGAACCCTGAGACAGAGTAGAGATCCATTCTGAATTAGGTGAAGTGTCTAAGAGAGGTGAAAAGTCTGTGAGGCCAAAGCTGAAGGAAAAGTCAGATGCCGGAGACAGCAAGACGACAGAGAAAGAAAAACAGAAATGACCACAAGGTCAATTTGCCC